ACATGTACCATCTTCTGTAAAACATTCCACTTTGATATAATTGTCATTCCTTCCCCTAGGCATAAAACTCTCTAAATAAATATCCTTCCTAGGGGAAGGAATGATAGTAAATATCATCCTGTCAGGTCTTAATTCATCTCCTCACCTACTGAAATTTAATGTCTTTTATCATTCAGGAATGGGGGCTATTTAATCAAGAAGACCACCTGCATCTTCCACAACCAAAGATCATTTGCTTATCCCCTTTTCTTGGTTTTGGTATCCTTCAATATTTGCTTTTACTGCAATCGTAAAATCCTGAAATAGCTGAATTTATATGGAGTTATATAAATTTGAGGAGGTAGTATAATAATGACAAGCAGATTTTTGTCTGTTGTTCTTAACCCCTTAAGGACCAAACATCTGGAATAAAAGGGAATCATGACATGTCACACATGTCATGTGTCCTTAAGGGGTTAAACCCCCCCAAACATTTGGCAGCTGCTTTTGCAGTACCTACCCATGTTAATGATTGCATTTTTACATAGTTACATAGCTGAAAAGAGACCAGTCTGAAGCGCTTCCAATTTTGCCACAAACTAGGAAAAAAATCCTTCTTGACCCCAAAATAGCAGTCAGATGTCTCCTTGGATCAAGCAGCTATTATCCCACTAATTAGAAATTATATCCCTGTATGTTATGTTTTTGCAATTGCAGTTTAAACATATGTATGGACTCTGATAAAACCACCTCTTCAGGCAGAGCATTCCATATCCTTATTGCTCTTACTGTAAAAAAAACTCTTCTTTGCCTTAGATGAAATCTCCTTTCTTCCAGCCTAAATGTGTGACCTTGTGTCCTATGTATAGCCCTGTTTATGAATAGATTATTTCTCATTATGTATGTGTGTGAGTGTGAATATACAAGTGTATATATTATATACACAAATCATATGTAAATGTGTATCTATTATATATTTTTCAGGTGTTTAAGTTCTATGGGAGTGGGATGCATAACTATGCCAAGGCAGGGCCATCTTTAACGCGTGGCAAAAGGGGCAGCTGCCCCGGGCCCTGTCATCCTAAAGGGCCCAAATCAGCTGCCCCGGGCTCTGTCATCTTATGGGGCCTAATGCAGCTGCCCCTTCAGCCCACCGGCCGCCATGGAGTGTGTGGCCCATGTGGAACTACCACCGTGGGCCACATGATGAGGGGGCCCATTGGGTGGCCCATGATCTAAGGGCCACCTGATGGCAATGTATTTTTGGGGGCCCAGTCAGCGCTGTGGCGCTTTAAGAGCACAACCAGGCCTCCTGTGATGATGTCACAATGCTGGGAGGAGGTCACTGCCTCACAGCATTCACCGAGCGCCGCACGGGAGGAGAAGGAGAGGACGGAGAAGGGAGACAGAGCTTACACTCATCAGCCTGAGGCAGCTACTGGACCCAGAGGAGTCACGCTTCAGCACCTAAAAGGTAGGACACAGGAGGGTGACTAAAAAATCTACATTTTGCATGTGTGTGTGTATCTGTTTTTGTGTGTCTGTGTATCTGTTTGTATGTGTGTCTGTATCTGTGTGTCTGTGTTTGTGTGTCTGTGTGTTTGTGTGTCTGTATGTCTTTCTGTGTGTCTGTATGCCTATCTGTGTATCCGTATGCCTATCTGTGTGTCTGTATGTCTGTATTTGAAACTGTGTCTGTATGTGTATCTGTGTCTGTATGTGTATCTGTATGCATATGTGTGTCTGTATGTGTATCTGTGTGTGTATCTGTGTGTCCGTATGCCTATCTGTGTCTCTGTATCTGTTTGTACATGTGTAACTGTGTGTGTATTTGTCTGTATGTGTATCTGTGTGTTTGTATGTGTATCTGTGCGTGCAAATGTTTGTCTGTATGTGTGTTAGTGTGTGTATCTAAATGTATATTATTCTGTGTGTCTGTGTATCTGTATGTGTGTCAGTGTGTGTCTGTGTATCTGTGTCTGTGTATATATCTGCATGTTATTGTGTGTATCTGCATGTTTGTCACTGTATTTGTCTGTTTATCTGTATGTGTGCTAGTGTTTCTGTTCATCTGCATGTTTGTCAGTGAGTGTATCTGTGCATCTGTGTATCTTGATGTGTGTAAATGTGTATCTGCATGTGTGTCTGTGTATGCACTTGTGTGTGTATGTGTATCTATCTTTGTATGTCTTTACCTGTGTATGTTATTATTATTATTATTATTGCCATTTATATAGCACCAACAGATTCCGTAGCGCTTTACAATGTTATGAGAGGGGGTTTAACTATAAATAGGACAATTACAAAAAACTTATAGGAACAATAGGTTGGAGAGGACCCTGCTCAAACGAGCTTACATTCTATAGGAGGTGGGGTGTAAAACACAATAGGACACGGATTTGCAGTCAAATAAGGTGGGTTGCTCTTTAGGAGAGAGCAACAGACAGGTATGTGAGGTAGAGGTTAATCTGGGAGGCCATATG